CCCTTCGGGATATTTTTTGTCCTTGTTGAAAAACAACCATAAAAATATTAAATATTAATATTTTTTTCTACTTTTTTTTCTCCTACTCGGATTATACATACCGAGAGAGAGAGAGAGAGATGGAGAGAACAGTCATGTAACCTTGCAGCAACCTGCAGCTCATAATTTGCAATTTTTAGCTACACAATTACACACATGCACACACGCGCACACACACGCACACACACGCACACACACACACACACACTAGTTTTTAGTATCTATACAGCCACAGCCCCCAGACATCCATATCAACACTAACGTAGCATTTATTTTAATGTTTTGGGGTTTTTTTGGCTCGCAAACCTCAATAATGAAAAAATAGGAGAAAAATACAGGCAATTTTACAATTATTTAGTGTGTGTTTGCTCTGCTGGGGAAGCAGGAGAAAATGTATGATTCAGCTGGATTTTAGTAAAAACTTCCATTTTGATCCCCTAACTCTGGAATGCATGACCAACATCATCAAATTCATGTTTCTAAGTTGTCATTAGGATGTGATGAACAAATACGGAATTTATGGTTTTACATTTAGCTATATTTTCACATAGGGATTTGACGTTGTGTATTTTGAGTCCATGTACAGACACACACACACACACACACACACACACACACACACACACAAACTAATATTGCAATATTTTTATACAGACCACACTGTCACATCCTTATGAGCACAGCAAGACCATTTTTGATCTACTCTGCATTTACCCTCCCTGTTAGGGGCCTATAGTGCTTCAAGTGGCCAAACCAGGAATTGCATTGAAAAGACAGCAGGGCCCCAAAAATGGAAATTGGCCCCATCTGTTTTTTTTTTGTTTTGTTTTGTTTTGTTTGGTGTTTTTTTTTTTACTATTCTTGGGTCTCTCTAACCAACCTGAATGCCAGAGATAGAAAAAAATCATGTTTTTTATGTAAATTGAAGGGGAATCAAAAAATGCCGTTTTAATGGGTTTCAATGGGGACGTTTTTCGTCCGAGAGGGAGTGTTGTAAAAGGTTGCCATTTGTGTATTTTAGACCTGATTTAGGAGCGGCTTTAAAATTTCAAAAATATCACCAAAAATAAGGTTTCTGACCAAATGTCATGCTATATGCATGAACACAGCCAAAGTTATCAAAAAATAAAAACTGAAAAATGACTGAAAAGGACGTTTTCCGTCGGAGGGGGACCAGTGGGTTAAATGCCACGATGATAAGCAGTTGTTGAGCGGCCTTCGTCTTGGCTCCTGTCACTGACACACCAGGGTGATGTTGCTTCAAATGGGTGGCCATGCTCAATGTATTTCCACTATCATATGGCTTTCTCATGCCACAGTGCCTGCACACCGTAATGGTTTTGTCCACCATCCTTCTTCCATCATCACTGTATTTTACAGGGAAACCAAAATGCTCCCATACATGCGACTTAAATGATGCAGGAGGTTTTTCAAGTTCCTTTGCTCCTCCGCTAGCCATGACTACCACTGTGTTTGACTAGTGTGGATTGAACATGCGCCCTTCACGTGAACACACACAACGTTTTTTTTTTTCTTCTTTTTTTTTTCATCAACCAATCTGCAGGCCACGTGGGTGCCAAACCGTGGAGAGGGATCCATACGGATCACGGATCAACAATGAACTGTTGCACCACTGGCTGTTAAGCACAGTCAAACACACCGCTCGCACAGCATCTCAGCAAGGCACTGTATACACACTCAATTGGAGCAGAGCCTGTGTTGCATTCAGGCGTTGTCATGTAAATAACAAATTCCAGCGCTTGAGTAGGCCATAGCACAACACAGCAGCATGTGAAGTGGGCCGAACCCGAACTGAACCCGTGCAAAATTTTTGATTTGTTATCCCAACCTGGCCCCAGTATCCACAATCTGGAGCACACTCTCACCAGCGGACAGAGAATGCGTGTCTGAAATTATGTCACGTCAACCACCTGAAAAGCAGACAAAAATATCTGTGTTTTTTTAAACGCTCCCACGGTGGTGAAGATGGTGAAGAAGAAATGTTCTGGGGCCTCATGTACAAAGGGTGCGTATGCACAAAAACGTGGCGTACGTCCTTTTCCACAGTAAAGTTCAGATTTATCAAGAGTGAAATGACCGTGGAAATGTGCGGTGCCTCACGCCAACTTCATGGCTGGCGTATGCACGTTTCCACAGCTGTTGATCCTTTGGCACCACTTAGAGGTGATGTCGGGAAACTGTTATAATAAATAAATGTGAAAACAATTAGTCCTCAGAGTGATGTGCACATCAGAGACACATGAACAATTAACACTAATGAACAATTAACACACCCACGTGTCTGCAATTAGATGAGTGGATATAAAAGTATGCACAAAGTGGTGCAGAAAATACCGATAACAACAATGGCTGCCTTAGCAGTATTTGCCGCATTGGTTCCCAAGGGCAATCCTCCTGGAACTGTGCGCGAAGCTGCGGTCGGCCTTGGAGCGCAACACGGCGAGGAGCCATGCGCTGCCTCTATCCATACAGGTGCTGACCACACTGGGGTTCCTAGCAACAGGGGCATTCCAGAGGGAGCTGGCCGACCAATCGGGACTGTGCCAGTCGACCCTGAGCCGAGCCATGCCAGCGGTGTGGGACAGAATTATCCGCATGTCAGCCAGATATATCGATTCCCATATGCAGCTGAACAGGCCAACATTAAAGCACAATTTGCAGCGAGAGACGGTTTTCCTAATGTAATTGGAGCCATCGACTGCACAAAAATTGATATAAAAGCGCCATCGCAGGATGAATTTATTTTTGTCAACAGGAAGCATTTTCATTTGATCAGTGTACAGATCAAATGCAATTAACTGATCAGCACTGTGCCAGTCGACCCTGAGCCGAGCCATGCCAGCTGTGTGGGATGGAATTATCCGCATGTCAGCCAGATATATCAAATTCCCATATGCAGCTGAACAGGCCAACATTCAGGGCATGACCCCCTCTCCAGTAAAATAAATAATGTGCTATTTCAATCTTAAAAGATTTAGTCCCCCCTTCCCATTCCTAGTAGTGGTATATCCCACACTATTCTCTCCACCTGTCAGTGAGACAAACATGAGAGACGTGCAGTTTAACCGACGAGGAGCGGTCATTACACGCGACTATTACGCACAGTTGTGAGGTGCGCAGTGGCAGATCTCACAGCACACTGTTTATAAACCAGTTTACCAGTTTTATTGCAGGAAATGTTTAGTTGTTAAGCCATTTCTCATAAGTATAGACATTCACTGTATATCCACTTTTCTACATGTGGCTGCTGCTGGCTTGAGTGTTGACTCTCTCATTATCAATAACTTGCAATGCTGAGATAAATGTTTAAAGTCCAAAAAAATTAATTTATTATGAACAGGTCCATAAAACAGGTTTCAAAATTCTAAATACCTTGTAAACAAACAAAATATTCAGTATTACACATTTTCTTTGGTTACTTTTCTTCCAAACATTTTTTAAAGTTATGATCTCACTGCCGGTAAAAAAACGAGAAAAAAAAAACAAAAAACGGTTTGCTCCTGCAGCCAGCCAGAGACGAAGGATCCATTCCACACACCTGAGCCAGAGAAAAAAGAGGGAGAGAAGGAGAGAGATCGAGTTTCTGTCTTTGATGAATGAAGCCTTATTGTTTTGCTGCTATTAAACAATGAGTTACTCAGTAGCATAAATATTGACATTACTGTGCACAGGGAGACAGAGACCTGCTCTGCTCCAGACACACTCAGCACCTTGAACAGCACGGCGCACCTGACTGTTGTCGATGTGTACATGTTAATTTGATTTCAGTCATTTTGTTTTAAATCTGGACACGTGCAGGTGGACTCAGCCAGTGCTAAGAAAGGTCCTATGCCTGCCTGTTGGAGAGATAGAAGATTAAAGTGTCAAATTGCGGTAAAAGATGCTGTATAAAAGACAGGCTACAACTTTATTTCCTTGTCCCCCCCCCTGGCATTGTTCTCTAAAATGTTACTGTTTATTGCCCCCCCCCCACTATGAAATGGGATTTTCGCCCCTGCCCCAGGTGACTCTCTGTTCAAGCGGGGTGAGCTCCTCCTGTTTTGGCCATACTTTGGCGGTGGGCAGCCATCCTCCGCTTCACGTCCACCTTAATGTCAGACTACTTCTTTTTTAATTCTGCGTGTGTATGCTTTTCTGACCCCACAGCATTGACAGCCTCACACACACTCTCCCACTCACTCCTCTTGCGTTTAGTATTGATGCTCCGGAGCCTTTGTGCTCCACTGTCTCTCAGGTTAACTAGTATTGCAGCGGTGCCTGGATAGTGTGACGTGTGTGGTTGTGCTGCTGCCGTGGTCCTGCCAGATGCCTCCTGCTGCTGCTGTTATCATTAGTCATACTTCTATTGTTATTATACACATATGATTATTGTCACACATGTATACTATCAGATATTAATATATTATTATTATTATTATTAATTATAATATTATTACTTTAATTAATGTTGTTGTAAGCTACTGCCATTACTGTCTATCCTGCATCTCTCTCTCTCTCTCTCTGTCTCATTGTGTCATACGGTTTACTGTTAATTTATTATATTGATCTGTTCTGTATGACATCTATTGCTCGTCTGTCCATCCTGGAAGAGGGATCCCTCCTCAGTTGCTCTTCCTGAGGTTTCTACCGGTCTACTGGCACCTAAAGAGACAAATATGTCCCTCAAGAGTTGGTACAGACTAAAATCAAAGCCCAGAGAGAGTAAATACTGGGCATTTATTGGACATTTTATCTGCTGGATGTGTATAAAGACAATGGTTCGCAAACACATTCACCAACTTAATAAAGTGATATTATCATAGATGTTGTTTTTAAAGGGTGGACAATAATTCATGCTGCTTTAACAGTCTTTTTCTTAATAAAATGAAGTGGATTACTATGACAAATATACTGTCAGAAATAGCCTGGAAAGATAACGAGTGATACTTTTGTGTTAACAGACCAATGGGAGCTTCTTACATCCACTATGCTGAGTCCTCAATGAAGAATGGCTTTGGCTTAAAATATCTGCACAGGTTTTTCAACATCCCCTTTCTGCAGCTACAGGTTATTTTTTTAACTCATCATTTGTCATTGTTACTTTTATAATGGGTTATATTAGCTCTGTAGTTTACCATCCTGTACTTGTTTTTAAGGATTTTTTGGAAACTTTGCCAATTTTAAACCAGGTCTGTGTCACTATGGTGGGGGGAGTGTGCGCGCAAGAACAGTGTTAAGGTGCCCCTCAGCGCCTGAAGCTTCCTGCTTGTCCACCATCCAGCCAAAATCTGAAGAATGACATGAAATGATGCGTGGACTTTTGCTCATGGCACGGGCAGGGAGTTCTTAGCACTGCTGACTGGGGGGAAGCCAAACACTGTTCATCTGCACACACTCCCCACAAAGTGATGACACAGACCTGGTTGAAAATTGAGCAAGTTTTTCCTTTAATCTGTTTTCACTTAATGGTAGAAAGTAAGATTGCAGTATTATTTTGCCTGTGTTGACATTGTTTCTAATCATGCTTTGGAACAGTGTGATTATGAATGCTCAGTCTGATATCCTGTCCAATCATTCATGCCAGGTTTGTGTGTGTATGTGTATGTGTGTGTGTTTGCAGAGAGAGACCCTCCTGAGGCAGCTGGAGACAAACCAGCTGGACATGGATGCCACCTTGGAGGAGCTCTCTGTCCAGCAGGAGACTGAAGATCAAAACTACGAGATGTACTGTTTGCTTTGTTTCTCTCTGTCAGTGCACTGTTGTATAGAGCCTCTAGAGCAGGGCTTTTCTCAATTACAAATTCAGTTGGGCAAGATTTAAAACCAGAAAATGTTGATGGGCCACATTTTCAGCAGCAAGCAACCTATCTACTTTTTGTAGTTCACATGTGTGTGTGTGTATATATATGTGTATATATATATATATATATATATACTCAACATAATGCAGAAACAGAATGAAAAAGAGCCATCAATGCACAGAAGGATAATAAGTGGCATAAACAGTAACTTATAAGACACTCTATCTCTCTACTTGCATCTCCCTCTCTCCCTCTCCCCCCTGCCCTCTCTCCCCCACACACACACACATGCACACACCTCACCTACTGACGTTTTCTTTTATGGTCAGTTACACAGGATATAGTTTTATACAGTCTATGGTAGCAACAGTCATGATTACAACAACAAAGTCATTTTATAAACTCAATAATATCTCACCGGAAACAAATCAATAAATATTCCTCCTGACATCACAATACTGAGTGGAAAAAGTAACGTTATGTAAGCATGAAGAAGACAGACATCAGTATCAATCATTCATCCTGCTCTCTGACCCCATCTACTGAGGAGATTCACTGTCTGCAAGTACATGTGTAGCCCACATGTGGCCAAGAAGAAGGAACATGAGCAAAAGCTTATTCTTCACAACTGTCTGTGGAAGCTTGCAGCAGATTGCATTCTATGTGCACATTGCACTCTCTGGTTAGCACCAGAAACTTAAAGGGAAATTTCGGTTTATTTCAACCTGTCTCCTATCATCCTAATTTTGTTTCAAGTGACTAGTGACGAAAAGTAATAGTTAGCATGTTAGCCGTTAGCCTAGATACAGCTGAGGCGCATAGTAGCGTCAGACCTGTTAAAACATAAGTGAATGGGCATACCTTCAAGTGCAAAGTTAGTCTACTAAACAAGCTTTTTTCCACAAAGACCATCTCATATCATTAGGATAAATGTCAGACAACATATAGAAAACGACATGTAAACGTGTTGTCTTACCTTACCGGCCGCGCTTTGGAAAGCAGAGCTAGATGATAAACAATCATGGCAGCACACCGGTAAGGTAAGACAACACGTTTACATGTCGTCTTCTGTATGTTCTCTGACATTTATCCTAACGATATGAGGCAGTCTTTTTGGAGAAAAAGCTTGTTTAGTGGACTAACTTTGCACTTGAAGGGATACCCGTTCACTTAGGTTTTAACAGGTCTGACTCTACTAATGCGCCCCGGCTGTATCTAGAATAACGGCAAACATGCTAACTATTATTTTTCGTCACTAGTCACTTGAAACAAATTTAGGACGATAGGAGACAGGTTGAAATAAACCGAAATTTCCCTTTAAGAACAAGGTTTTTAACAACTTAGGACCACATTGTGCTAAGGCTGGGAATACATTACAGTCTGTAGCTATGCCTCTGTTATGCCGTTTGAGTACACATCCTTCCTATGAAGAGTTTTCTTTCTTTTCTCAAGAATTACTTAGTGCAGGAGTTATTGTCATTGACTTTCAGCTAATTGTGGCCATGTGTTGTCAGAAGACACAAAAAAATCCAAGTGACATTGTCAGTGCATGAAATAATGAATCAAAAAGAAGTTTTATTGCAATTTATTGGAAATTTCTTGTAACTGTAATGAGTTCCTCTTGACTTGCAGATTTGTGAAGTCATGTTCTGTATTTCTTTGTATCACCTGCCTTTTTTTTTATTTTTTTAGTATAGACCAGAACATCATCACGACAGTTGAAATATTCCTGATGACTTTTCCTAAATCAAGAGCAGCATTTAAATTCTACAGTCCCCTCTTTGTGTTCTAGCCTAAGATAATATTGCAGGTGAATCATAGTTTATTAACCGGCAGTTTTGTGATTTCTGCAGTTTTCTGGAGAACTTGGAGTCTCGCAGTAAGGGCTATAGCTCTCCTGGCCCGGCTAATGGTCAGAGTCCCTCCTCAGGCTCCCAGTCCCCCATCGTTCCTCCTAGTGGGGCCTCTACAGGCAGCTCCAGCCCCAGCACCCCTCAGCCCCTGGTTTCTTCCCAGGTGCAACCACAGTCACCATCTGTGTCAGCCTCCTCCCCTCTACCTCCGTCAACAGCGGTTAGCGGGGAAGCTTCAGCTGCTCTTGAATCAAAGCCATCAGCCCAGTCACCAGAACACCTTCAGGCATCAGCTGCATCTGGAGTGTCGGCCCCCCAGAAACGTGGCTTTATCTCCCGCTGGTTCGGTTCATCTCCTGCTGCTGAGGCTCCTGCTTCTGCACCAGGTGAGTCTCTACTACAGTAAAAGACTCCGCATCAGTCCACATACCATCACCTTTGCAGTTGTGTGCACACTGTCTGCAACCATTGATGATACTCACATTAGAGCTCAGATTCTCTGCCCGAACCCCCGACCCGGAGTGCTGATTATTTAGTGCTGTATAAGTTTAAAACACTCAGTTGTTCAGTGTGGCGTCATATTTTGAAATATGGGTTTGGCTTAATTGTGCTTTAGCAAGACACTTTTACAACAATTTAAACACCATATATCTTGATCTTTGTTTTTTATATTTCCCCATTGTCACCCAATGAGAAACAGCGCAAGAGTCATTCAGGGTTCTGTGTGACTACTGGCTGATTACAGCTGTTTGTCACACAGGTCAGGAACCAGTCATCAGCATAAGGTCACATGCATTCATCATGTGCCAGCATGTATTATTGCAGTGGTTTGTAAGTATATGCATAAAAGTGCAGAGACTGGCTTAAAAAAAAAAAAAGAGTCCCTCACTCAGCTCTTATCTGTTGCAAATATACAGCTGAGCAGGCTCTCAATGAGTGCACTCAGCAGCACTAACTGTACGTTCACACCAAAAGCTGCCAAAGCTGCAAAATAGCTGAATTTGCTCTAGCAGCGCACTGGAAAAATATTTGTGGCAGCGAAAGCAGCTCAAGTCGCTCATGACATCAAATTCTGAACATTAAATTATGCTTCTCAATTTAAAGGAGCCACAAAGCAGGTTACTGGCTGGAGCACAGAAATGTGACTTCGTGCATTTGCCTGAGTACAGAAACTTTCACATTTGGACAATGAAAAAAGAATAAAAACTCTAAATAGGTCTGACATTAAACATTAAACACACACAGCCTGTGTTGCGTTCAGGCGTTGTCATGTAAATAACAAATTCCAGCACTTGAATAGGCCGTAGCACAACACAGTAGCATGTCAAGTGGGCCAAACCCGAACAGAATGTGAGCAAAATTTTTCATTTGTTATCCAAACCCTGCCCCGGTATCCACACTCTGGAGCACGCTCTCAGCAGCAAGAGAAAGAACACGTGTCGGAAATTATGTATGAATGCGTCAACCACCTGAAAAGCAGTTATTGTTATAAAAAGAAGAAAAATTACCGGGTGCTCTCAGGTAAACGCAAGGTGCTCTTGAAGTTGAATATTAACTGTTCAAAAGTGGAGTAAGCCACTCAGGCTTTCTTCAGGCACACTACGCACCAAGACAAGGAATAATATTAAAAAGCCTTTATTTTAATCGGGCATGTCAGAGATTAAAATATACGACCAAATGCCAAAAACGCCAACCGGTTTCGACCAACAGGTCTTCTTCAGGGCGTGGCAGAAAAGACACATTTTTTTCTGCCACTGTTTCACGAATACCTGTAGAACATAGTGTATATACAGTGTTAACATTCGGACAGATCAGTCAAGTTATTTGACATTCTGTTGGGCTCCGCACAGGTTAGGTTAGACTTGGACCTGAGTTGCAGATTCGACTTAGTTTAGACATGAATTCATGCAGTGCCAGGATATGCCTCTTTATTAGGGGTGGGGAAAAAAATCGATACAGCATAGTATCACAATATTTATGTGTGGCAATATTGTATGATCACACAATGCCAAGTTTAGATTTTTGTATTATATAAATTATTAATATTGCAACTACAAATTAAACTTTAGGTAGCCTACTAGCATAATATAATCAATTGCTTTTTCAGTCCACTAGATAAATTTTGCTGCAAAATAAGGTTGAGGTGGGATGAACAGACTGAAAACTTTATCTTATTAGATAAAATAGATGTTGACAAAATTTTCTTTTGGGGACATAATTTACAGTTGAAAAAATATAATATATCGCAATATATTTTATCCCAATACTCAGCATATTGCAACATATTTAAAATCACATTTATATTGTATTGTGACTTAAAGGAGCAGTAAGCGAAATTCATCATTTCTAGATTGAAAGAATTAAAAAATTGCTAGAGGTGTAATTTCATCTGGAGTATAGCATGATCTCACACACCCTCTCTCTGTGTTGATCTCCAGCCCCTTGTTTACAAGCCGGTCCGGCTGCGCGTTCATGTACTTAGTTTTTATCTGCTGGAGGGTCGCATAGGGGAGCGTAGCGCGACAAAAATAGAAGAGCCGCCTAAAATAGAGAGTTGTCGCGCGGCAGATGGGGGTTGTCGCGCCGCTCCCGTTGCCGGTGGAGCCGCTGTAATTGATTAACAGGGGGGTGAGCTGTTATGGGACTCGCGCTGCAGACGTGTCGTGCCGCTGACGTGCCCGGTGGACTCCGGCCATTACAGTAACGTTAAGCACGTCGCTATGCCGATTCAGTTAAATTTAATGTTACAATCATAGTATGGGTTAATGTCCAGAGCTTGAGTTATTAGCAGCTCTGTCCCATCAATGAGTCAGGCGTTTCGGTTGTGTTAGGTGAGTAGCCCGGCAGCCCAGCTAACGTTTGCAATTAGCATTGTAAAATGTAGCCCGGCGGGCAGCCTGGCGGCTGTGTTTAGCTGTTCCCCTGCCTACTTCAATGATGATGGTACCTGTAATAAATTTAATTTATTTGCTGATATGGTGGCGAGGCTCAGTGACTTGAAGAGCTGGTAGAAGCGCTCCATAGCTGCAAGCTACTCCAGTAGCCGTAGTAGCTCTAGTGCTAACTCTGGGAGCTAACGCTAACATTCCTCTCTTCTCCGTGAGCCCGGAGAAGAGTTGGAACGTTAGCATGGCAGCCGACTAGTGCTAACGCTAACATCCCCAAGCTAGAGCTTGGCTCCGGCAAGCTCTAGCTTGGGGACATTAGCATGGCAGCCGACTACTGCTAACGCTAACGTCCCCACGCTTCTCGGCTCCGACTCACTGAGCCTGGCGGAGAAGCGTGGGGACGTTAGCACTAATGGGCTGCCATGTTAACGTTCCAACTCTTCTCCGTGAGACCGTGAGCCCGGCTCCCGGCTCAGTTGGAGCATTAGCGTGGCAGCCAAGTGTTGCTAACGCTAACAGGAAAGCAGGTAAATAGCTAAACACTGCAGAGACCGAGAGTGAGTGAAAGACATTGCTAACTGCTAAACTAAGTTGGCTGTTTAGGTTTTATTTCCTCGCCCCTGTGGCGAGTGAATCTACCTGCAGTTAAAGCGGGGGCTAACCGGTGCTTCCTCCTCATGCTCCACTTCACTCAGCTGCTAACACAGCCAGTTAGCCTCTGCTAGCTTCCCGGCTAGCGGCTCTCCGTTTGGATCCAACCGGAGCACCAAGCCCTGGTTTGTTATTCAGGTTAATGTGGGAAGAAGCAGCGGGTATATCGGGCAGCTGAGTGAAGCTGAGTGAAGCAGAGCCTGCAGAAGAAACACTGGGACCGTCTGGATGTGATAGTTCGTGGAGGTGCTGCGGTACTCGCCGGCACAGACGAGGCGAGTTGGGGGGGGTGTTGGAGAGCAGAGGTAGAGGGAGGAGTGGCTCATGACACACTTTGTTTTGCTCTACAGGCAGTGCACAACAGCGAACCTAGTGGTGAAACGATTTTGCTCATTGCTCCTTTAAGTATTGTGATAATATATCTTGGATCCTCAGGTTATTCCCACCCCGACTATTTAATAATGTCTGGCTTCACTTGGACAAGTATAAAGCATGGCATACCCCTGTCCTTGGACCCTCACAGAAGATGAGAAAAAACTCCCCCCAAAAAAACCATCAACAGGGAAAAGAATGGTAGTGTAGTGGGTAATTGTGCCCAAGTACTTTAAATGTGCTACTTTTTCTGCAGGCTGGCTACTGAGTATGACAGGGAAGGTGTAACTGGTTCCATTTGGTTTGAATTTTATAAACTTAATCGTTTTTCTCAGTTGCCCACAGTCTGTATCAAATTATCTTCATCGTTTGACTTTTTTTCCATCTGTGATGCCGAGCCTTTTGTCATATTCGAAAAAATCTGCCACATTTTTAAATACGTAGTTAATATCCTAGTCAACTGGCGGCACGTGGGCCACATCCGGCCCACCAAAGCTTGTCCGTCTGCCCTGCAGAATATTAATTGATTAATTGATTGATGTGAGGAAGACAAAAATGTCTTACAGTATTTAGGTTATGGGCAAATGACATGACATGCAATTTTGATGTCCAAAGCCCTGTATGAACTAAAAATAAATAAAGTGTTTAATAAACATATTTTTTGAGTCTCATAATATGAAAATGCATTGAGGGTATTAATAAATTTAACATTTGTTACAGATTATTGTCACAATATGTCATACCGTATAACTGTCCAGACCTCATTGTAAAATGCAAGAAAGCTATAAAAAGTGTAAAAAAAAAAATTAAATAAAATAAAAAATCACTTAGCTTGATATGGTTCTTATCACAGGCTTGAGTGTTGTTTTGTCATACCTTGACAGTATCGACGACTGCGTCTGTCGTTATCATCAGAAGCGTCACGTGATGTTGTGGTGATGTGTCCTGTAGATGTTTTATCCAGGTTGTCATTCCACCTCAGTGGTGGAATGATGGTGCCCCTGGCGCCAGGTGCCCATGAGGGAGCGGGGTTCCCTGCTATCCAATAGTCCATCAGGTGACAGAGGGCGGGGCCCCCCATCATCCGGGGTTCCTCCAGATGATGAGGGTTGGGGCCCCCCGCTTTCTGACAGTCCTACAGACGGCAGGGAGCACTTCTGTAACACTGCATCCCAAGTGTGAGATACTGAGTGCATGCTTGGGGATTTCCACCGCCTCAGCAATCCAACGGTTGTACTTGTTGCTTTCCGTTCAAATGACCCCCCCATCATCTGGAGGAACCCCGGATGGTGGGGGGGCCCCGGTGTTGCACTGCAGACTAATTAACAGACAGATTAAACAAAGTAGCAGCTCTGTGTCTCTCTTAATTGCTGGAGAACTTGTGACTGAGTGAGTGGGGTGGAGCTGTGCAGAGAGTGTGAGAGAGATGCACACTGGCACCGGCACACAGGGTTTTGCAACTTGACACTTTATTGAGCCACAGCCTAAACTTAACAAGACCCTAGTAAAATATGCAGAGCTTTATGATCTGATGACTGGCTGGTGTTCACGTGATTTCATTATGTAAAATAAATTTATTTGATGGAGGTCACATAAATGGTGTTTTCCTCAGATGAGCTGCCTGCACTGGTGTGTCCTGCTAAGGTTCAGAGTGTAGATGACTTTGTACCAGATGAGAGACTGGATAGAAGTTTCCTGGAGGACAGCTTGCCCTCCAAGACCAAGGTGCCTCAGCCTCCAGCAGCTGTGGACAGTGACAGGTGACATCTTTACCAATGCTTTTCTATCATTTTGAGTAAGCTTGTTAATCCTCAAGGGCAAAGTTAGTATTTGTCGATTAAATTTGACCTTTTTTTAACTTCAAAGTTAGTCTTAACATGGATAAGAAACCAAGTTTCATTCTTGTTAAGAATAAAATGTGTTTACTGAAAACGTTTGTGATGTCACATGTTACAAAAGTTCTATTTATCAGCATTTTAAAAAGGTGCTTGTGTACATGCAGTCTCATTGAGGTTGTGCTCTCAACCACCCCAGCTGTTCCAGCAGAGCAGCACAATAAATCACAATAGTAGATGCTCTCTCAATGAATAACGGCTCTTTCTCTGTCCCAGTGATGGTGAAAACAGAGGAAACCCCATGGTGTCTGGTTTCCAGGATGAGCTGGATCCTGACGACACTGAGCCCAGCCTTCCCCAACCTAAGACCCTGCCCCTCAGTAAAGATATCACTCTGACCAGTGACGAGGATGATGAAGTACCAGCTGTCCCTACTATCACACAGAACCTAGACCTGGACAGTGAACCTGAGCTGAAAGCGTAAGTATTTTGTTCACAGTGACATGAATATACAGTAATTTGTGGATTTAAGAGAAAAGAAATTTAGGTCTCTCATAGGGAGCTAAAGTGGGGAAAAAAGGCATTTTATATGAATAACCACAAAGCAACAAATGATGTTGCCTTACTGTGCAATCCATACATACCATAAAAATCTAATAGTCAAACAGTTTGAAAGGAAACAATACCGGAAAGAGAAAATGCCATGCAGTAAAAGACATGGTCAAAGGTCAAAGGTTCATTTATTGTCACTCAGTACATGTCTGCACACTACAGAGCGAAATATGTACTCAGGTCCCGATATAATAAAAAAAGGGAATAAAAGAGGATATAAAACACATAAAAACATACACATAAAAACATACAGTGCAGTTGGACGGTCCAAACTAGTGTCCACAAGATGGCAGCAAATAACAGTAAAGTGCAGTGGCATATATATATATATAAAGTGCATATAGTGAGTCAGGTGCTGGTAGCTTATAAAAATAAGAATAAGAGTGCAGGTCCATGTTAAAAAGTGCGGGGGGTGGGGGGGGGTGGGGGGGGGCCTGGGGTAGTCCGTCAGTGGCTTATTGCTGGTAGGGAGGATAGGGAGTTCACCAGCCTCGCTGCCTCGGGGAAGAAGCTGGATTTCAGCCTTGTAGTTTTTGCTTTTAGGCTTCTCAGCCTCCTGCCAGAGGGGAGGAGGGCAAACAATCCGTTAGCAGGGTGGGTGGGGTCCCTCATAATGCAGGAGGCTCTGCTCCTGCACCTGCTGATGTAAATGTCCTTGATGGAGGGGAGGCAGCAGTTTGTAATCCTCTGCACCGCCTTAACCACCCTCTGCAGAGCCCTCCTGTCTGCGGCAGAGCAGTTCCCATACCAGACTGTGATACAGGATGTGAGGATGCTCTCCATCGCACATCTATAGAAGGCAGTCAGGACGGTTGCACTGAGGCCAGCATGTTTCAGCTTCCTCAGAAAGTAGAGGCGTTGGTGGGCCTTCTTCCTGACACAGGCAGTGTGATTGGTCCACTTCCACAGTTGCTCCTCCTATGTGCAGGGGGAGGGGGGGAGTGTGACCACCTCTCCTAAAATCCATAATTATCTCCTTTGTTTTTGCTACATTGAGGAACAGGTTGTTTGCTCTGCACCATTCCTCAAGCAGTACCACCTCCTGTCTGTACTCAGACTCATCATTGTGGGAGATTAGTCCCACCATGACCGTGTTGTCGGCAAACTTCACAGTATGATTGCTGGGGTGAGTGGCCGAGCAGTCATACGTGAGTAGGGTGTACAGCAGGGGGCTCAGGACGCATCCCAGGGGGGAGCCGGTGTTGATGGTGATGGAGGCGGATGTTACATCATGGATCTTGACGGTCTGCGGTCTATTGGTCAGAAAATCCAGTATCCAGTTACAGGGGGAGGGTTTGGTTCGGAGCAGCTGCAGTTTGTTGATCAAGGTCTGCGGGATGATGGTATTAAATGCAGAACTGAAATCCAAAAAGAGCAGTCTGACGTAGGAACCCTTGGTCTCCAGATGTGTAAGGGCTGAGTGGAGGACAAATGAGATGGCATCAGAAGTGGACCGGTTCTCTCTGTAGGCATACTGGTGGAGGTCTGCATTGATGTTAATACTGGCCTTATGTGGGCCATGACCAGACGCTCGAAGCACTTCATGTGAGCAGAGTGAGCCTGGTACTGGGGGAGGTGATGGAGGCCTCAAACCGCACATAAGTTGTTCAGGGCATCAGGGAGAGATGGGTCCCAGGGGCACACTGCACCTTTCCTGCTATACTCAGTGATGGTCTTAATGCCCTTCCACATACTATGAGGGTCATTGTTGGAGAAGTGACCTTGAATTTTTTGAGCATAGTTGGCTTTTGCTCTTTTAATTCCAGCCCCCAGCTCCTTCCTTGCTGCTCTCAATGCAGGAGCATCTCCCAGCCTGTATGCAGCGTCCCGTGCCTTCAGAAGGGAACAAACTTCACCGTTCAGCCAGGGCTTCTGATTGGGGCGGATGGTGATGGTCCTGGTGGTGGTGACATCATCAGTACACTTGCTGATGTAGCCGGTGACAGATGACATGTATTCCTCCAGGTCCACTGCGCCTCTGACTGTTGCTGCTTCCCTAAAGACCTGCCAGTTTGTGCGTTCAAAACAGTCTTGTAGGATGGAGGCAGCATCAGTGGACCACACAGTGATGGTTTTCCGTGTGGGCTTGCAGGCTTTGAGCACGGGGTGGTGAGAAGGAACCAGCATGATGGAATCATGATCGGAGAAGCCGAGGTGGGGGCGGGGCACCGCTCTGTATGAGTCCCTTCTTTTGGTGTACATCTGGTCAAGCATGTTGGTCCCCCTGGTTGCTATGGTGACATGCTGGTAAAACCTCGGCAGCGTATCCGTCAGTTCTAGGTGATTAAAGTCTCCTGCAAACACGAAAAAAGCCTCCAGGTGCTTGCACTGGAGCACTGAGATGTGATCATAGAGCTCTTTTAGAGCATCGCTACCATTAGCACTCGGGGGAATGTAAACAGCCACCAGAAACACCACTGTATACTGCCTGTTGATGTAGATACAGACGCCACCTTCCCATGTTTTTCCCGACAGGTGGTTGCAGTCGGCTCGGAATAAAAGCAGCCCGTCGAGCTGGTACACAGAGTCTGGCATGTTGTCATGTAACCATGTCTCGGTTAGAATATGCACACAGCAGTTCCTCATGTCCGTGTAGGTGTTCAAACGGAGTCGCAACAAGTCCATCTTATTGTCCAGCGAACGTACATTAGCCAAGAAGAGTGTGGGGAATGCGGGTCTGTTCTTAGCCCTTAGCCTAGCCAGTAAACCGGCTCGCTTACCCCTCTTCTGCCTCCGAGCGCACCGCTTCCTGCTTCCCCTCAGTCGGTATAATTTTCCATACCGATCGGTTGTCCTCAGAAGCCCCAATCTGCCCAATGCAGCTTTCAGATGTTGATGGATCTCTGTTGCTGGGTCAGCAAGTTCCAGAAGTTCACTTGCACTGTATTTCTCCGTGTTAGAGTGATTTAGGAAAGTTCTCAGAGCAACTCTTAGCAAGGAAGAGACAGAAACTTTTACCTTTAGTGAGGAGGTGTAGTTGACCTTGTTGCAAGGTAAGACACATTCTTTTAACAGGTGTGATTGGTTGTCATGGACACAACCCTTTGTGAGCCTGCAAGGTGCGGACACCCAGTGGAAATGTAATTAACTTCTGATTGTGAAAGTGTTTTCTTTGTTTGTGTGATCACTCTGCTGATGGGAGATTAAGACAAATCAAAGCCATCACTGCTGCACTGCTGCATTTTTCCAGTTTTCCAAATATCTTAGTGTTGTGATCATTTTATTTCTGGTGTTATAGTGTTAGGTGGTAAATGTGTGCAAATCCCTAATGACATCAACCGCACATATTATTCCTGCATGATCTAATCTGTAGCATTTTACTTACTCACTATCATCCTGTATTTGGAGAATATTTTTCCAACCTCTTTGTCTTTCCACCATTTTCTCCTCCGCTTAAGAAACTCTTAAGCCTCTTAAAAGTCCTCCTTCCTACTCCTAACAGTTTCTCACCTTAGGAACTCTTTTAAGGTCTAAGATGAACTTTTGCATTTCCAAGGACCTAGTCTAAACTTTAAGGGAAAATTCTAAGAAAACGTCACAATTCTAAAACTTTTCTTAGAATTTTGTCACTAGGATCAATTCTTAGCACTAGGAAGTTTTGTGATACGGCCTCTGATGATACAACCACAAAGTTGATCATTGATCTTTGGCCTCGGGTGTTCTGGTACCAAGTACACTTATGAATAAGTACACAGTACTAAAACACAGTGTTGTTATGGCCAGTCTATGGCCAGTCTATGACTAGCACAGAAGTCCAATAACATCACACCACATGGGTTCAGGTCAGTGTCTCCATTGTTGCCCTTGTGAGCATTGAAGTCCCCGAGGAGAACTACACAGTCCTTGGCCGGTATCCTATCCAGGACACTCTAGAGACTCTAAGAAGGCCAGGTACTCCAAACTGCTGTTCAGTGCATAAGCACAAACAACAGTTGGAGAACTCCTCAGCAACTCACAGTCACATCACAGCGACCCTCTCATTCCCTGGGGAGAACTCCAACACAGTGGCGCTCAGCCAGGGGCTTGTGAGTATCCCCACACCAGCCCGTTACCTCTTGCCTTGGGCAACTCCGAAAAAATGCAATAGTCCAGCCCCTCTCCAGGAGTTTGGTTCCAGAACCGGTGATGGGCATAGCGGTGAGCCCAGCTATATTTAGTTACTATGTTTAGTCGCAACACGCTTGGGGCTCAGCCCCTGTCTGCTGCCCAGCACACAATGCTCCCGGCACCAATGCCAGCCCAAGGCTCATCCACCAGATGCCCCCCAACCCCTAACTCCACCCCCCAGGTCTGGTTCCAAAGGGGGGGCCACGGTGTCCCCATACCAGGTGAGGTACTCTTTTCTAAATGTGCCGTTTCATCAAGGTCTTCTTGAACCGGTCTTAGTCTGGCCCTTCCCTGGGACCACTTTGCCTTGGGAGACCCTAACAGGTGCTATTAGCCCTGGACAGCACAGCTCCCAGGATCACAGGGACATGCAAACCCTTCCACCACATGAAGGTGGCAATTCTTGGAGGGGGTTATAGCAAACTTCCTGTTATAAAAGTATGTTAGCTCCACCTAACATTTCAATTAAGGTACATTTCTGTTTTGCATGGAAGAATCAGTTATTGTTGTCCCCTTAACCAGTTTGGAGATGTGTGTATGGGTAGACCTAGGTGTGGTTTTTCAGGAATGCAGTGTGTTGTTAAAACTGGCTTAAAATGTCGATGTGGGATATCAGACCTTCCTGATTCTTTCTCTGTGGAGTATCTCCAGGCCAGGGTTGTCCAAACCTTTTTAATAGGGGTCAGATAAGATACTGTGAAAATATATGGGGGCCAGCTGCTTCTTGCATCATATGGGTTATTAAAAAAATCACATACAAATGAGACAAATGCAACTGTTTTAACTTTCAGTGAAAAAGATTATGTTTGTGAAAACGCATTAGTTCTACTTGCATAATTCCTACTTGGTGCATGTCTGCAAAACTGTGTGATAGCCCTGCCATTGTCAGGCAAAAGTTTCCACACCAAAATTTCATTTACTATGAAAAGTTAAGTAAGTAGAAGATGAACTGATCTCCAAAAGGCATGAAGTGGAAGACGAAACATGCTTTAGCATATTATTTTTGTTTTGTACAATTTAAGAGTGAAAAAAATGGAAAGAAGCACCATGCAAAAGTTTGGGCACCCCAAGACATTTGAGCTCTCAGACAACTTTAACCAGGGTCTCAGACCTTGATTAGCTTGTTAGGGCTCTGGCTTGTTCAGAATCATCGTTACGAAAGGCCAGGAGATGCTAATTTCAAAGCTTTATAAATACTCTGACTCCTAAAACCTTGTCCCAACAATCTGCAGGCATGGGCTCCTCTAAAGAGCTGCCTAGCACTCTGAAAATTAAAGTAAGTGATGATCACAAAGCAGGAAAGGACTATAAGAAGGTAGCAGTTTTTTCAGGTTGCTGTTGCTTCAGTTTGTAATGAAATTAAGAAATGGCAGTTAACAGGAATTGTGGAGGTCAAGTGAAGTCTAGAAGACCAACAAAACTTTCCAAGAGAGCTGTTGGTAGGGTTGTTAGAAGCAAATCAAAACACCCATTTGACTGCAAAATACCTGCAGAAAGATTTATCAGACTCTGGAGTGATGGTGCACTGTTCTACTGTGCAGCAACACCCGTACAAATACAATGTTCATGGAAGAGTCATCAGAAGAAAACCTTTCCTGTGTTCTCAATACAAGATTTAGCATCAGAAGTTTGCAAAGGGACATCTAAGCAAGCCTGTTGCTTTTGGAAACAAGTCCTGTGGACTGATAAAGTAAAAGTGCAATTCTGGAAGCAAACATCACACCATCTGTAAAAATGCTTAAGATGAAGAGAGGATGGCTTCTACAACAGGAGAGTGACCCTGAACACACCTCAAAATCCACAATGAACTACCTCAAGAGGCGTGAGTTGAAGGTTTTGCCATGGCCCTCACAGTCCCCTGACCTAAACATTACTTAAAGTCTGTGGATAGACCTCACGAGAGCAGTGCATGCAAGACTGCACAAGAATCTCATAGAACTGGAAGCCTTTTGCAGAAAGAATGACTTCCCCCAAACAAGAGCTGAAAGACTCTTAGCTGGTAACAAAAAGCACTTAGAAGCTGTAATACTTGCCAAAGGGGGTGATACTAAGTACTGACCATGCAGGGTGCCCAAACGTTTGCTTCAGGACTCCTTTTCTGTATTTGTTTGTAACATGAAACTGCTTTATTTAGTGTTTTTATCAGCTTAAATCATCTGGTCGGTTTCTTTTGGAGAGGAAGAGACCTCTGCGGATAACTCAGCTCCTGGTTAAAATCTCATAAACCATGAACACCGAAGGAAGTCTAACTGGGAGAAGTTTTAGCTGGTTGCCACAAAATACCCCCAGATCTTATACACTGGACCTTTCAAATAGTTCTTCCACTTCTCATTCCACAAGCACGAGCTAACTTATTACAGTTGAAGGCATTTGTGCTATTTCTTCTTTTTATTTCTCTCTTTAGGACTGGATTGAGCCCAAATTATGTTGACTCCCAACTTCAGTTTACTGTAAATTTTGGTATAATACAATGCAATGAATCATTTAGATGTAGCCATGGAAAATATTTAAAGAAGATGTAAAGAATATGAAAGAAATTAAGAAATGTCTTAAGTGTATACATCAAATAAAATAGTAATGGATTTTAAGGTAAAACATTTTCCATATCACCCTGTTTCAGGCCTGTGATCCACATCACAAAACCAAAGGTGGCATCTAAAGCTCCAGAGCCCAGAGGACCCATCTCCCTCACTTTAACTCCAGCAGAAGAGCAGTTGCGCCGACACCAGGCCAAGAAGAAGGGAAACACAGCCAAAGCTGAGGACTCTGATACAGACCCCGAGGCCCCTGTAGCCCAACAGATGCTCTCATTTGTCATGGATGACCCCGACTTTGAGTCTGAAGCATCAGACACACCAAAAATAACCAAGGTAAAGTAGAACAGATTTACCATCAAGGCAAATTCTCTCAGTTAATTCAGTTCACAGCCAGAGCTTTTGACAGCATGGTTGGATTTGAGTCAGGAATTCTTTTCTCAGTCATAATGGATGATACATAGCAGACAGAATACTGACATTTTGGCTGAGGCCCCTGACACACCAAGCTGACGGTTGGCCTTTGGTCAATGTTGGGCCACCACTGAGCGCCCATCATGCTAGTTTTGGGGGTTTGTCCAGAAGCCATTGAGCTCTTTACCAGAAACAGTTCATAATTGTTTGCGTTATTGTTCAGTAGGGCACAGCAGATATCCTTTGTTCTTTAAACATCAGGTTGTGTTGTTTTTGTGGCTAACTAGCATCTTGAATCCATTCTGTCGGTCTCCCAGTTTCCCCTTTTGAATGACGAATACAGACTACCACCACCTACTATGGAGAGTTTGTTTCTGTGACGCAGTTGCAGAAGGTATGTGCTAGTTGGCCGTTGGCTGTAGACTTAGCGGTGTGTTCAGTTGCAACTTTTTTTTTTTTTTTTTTGAGAAACGAGCGACGTGAGGCAAAGCAACAGTCGGCGTTCTTCACCACTAGTTCTTTGACGACAGTTTGGTGTGTCTGGGCCTAAACACTACTGAAGAGATTTGAATTGCATATCCAGAACATTTACTTGTATGACCGTAACGTTTCGGCTGCTCCATTTTTCCCAGGATATATTTCCAGTCAGAGATGAGCTTTTGTCTGACCCCTCTGACGATGACATGCAGATAGCCAGGGTGCCAGAACCTCTGAAGGCCACTGCGATCTCCTTCAAACACAAGGATGATACCGACCTTTTTGGCCTCGGCATCCAAGAAGAGGCTCCCGCAGCCAACAACAGCAGCGAGGAGCAGGAAGGCAAGTCATCAAAGTCTATCTAACTCTGTAACTCACATTGCAGATCAAAACATTTTATAAATCACATTTATTTCCTTTATTTAAATTCTTTAAAAGCAATGTGTGTAAATAAGTTATAATTTAAGGGTTTTATTGGCAGGACATGATTTGTCCCAGTTCTCAAGAATTGGTGATGTACAGTCACTATCATTGAGTCTATAATGCTCCAACAGCAGTTCACACTTACTCCAAGGAATGTTTTTGTTCAGGTATTACATACTGTCTCTGTTGGTCATCCAGAATTAATAGAGCCATAGTTACATATTACAGTCCCTCCAGAAAAACGTGATTATGCGATCGCATAATTCAACGCATAATCAGCCAAAGTCCGCATATTCATGCGGGGGCCACATTTTTTCAAAGACACCGCACATAAATCGCCAATTTCCGCATAAAATGCACAACATATGCGGGGCTTGCATGATTTCATAATCCTCGCATTTTCGTTGCAAGAGGGGTTTTCCTTGTGAATGCTCTCTGTAATGTACAAACATCTGTTGTGTCTTTCTGAGGCTTGCTGTGTTTGTCACGTAATGAGACAGTGCGCGCACTTGGCTTAGTCGGTGTGATGTTTCTTCTCCTCCTGTGGGGAGGAGGGAAGAAACCTTCCAGTGAAATAACTCTCGACCTAAAAGAGCTGGTTATGATTTTAGGCATGAATGTGGGATTCGGCCTCAGAGTAGCTGCGCTCCCGTCATCTCTGATAACGAGACAAGACGGGGAGACTGAAAGCACACATAAATCACTCACTCTCTTATGAAGAGATTTGAGAGAGATTTGTGACAGAGGCTCGAAGGGAGGTTCTCCCAGAGCGCGTAACACCAGGGGTAAATCCCACTGCTGTGCCAAAGAGCGCGTGACAGGTCTCTGTCGCCTGACTCCTTTCAAAAAGTGCTTAACCAGCTGGTGTGTAAAAACGGATCTCTCTCCATAGCCTTCATGACATAATATATATTTTATTTATTTATTTTTACAGAAGTTGTAGCATATTCTAGCTACAGAACTTGTTTGACTCAGCAATGTTTTGTAAGTTTGAGCCATGTGTTTATTAAGGTCTGAAATAAAACAAGATGAGAACTTAAATATTCCCTGCACTTTCTGTGATGTATCATAGGAAGTAATTAGAAATGACTACATTTAGGTAGTAGCCTAGTGAGAACAGGGTGTTGGGGGAATCACTTTTTTTCCTCTTTTTATCAAACTGCACTTTTTGCAAGTTCCCGCAATTTTTGCAAGTTCCTGCAATTTTTACAAGTTCCCGCAATTTTTAGAAGTTCCCACAATTTCATCGCATGAAATTGCATAAATATCCCGCATATTCCATCACATTTTTTAAGAAAACGTGCCGCATAATCAAGGATTTTTGCCCACAACAATCACAAAAAAACTCCGCATTTTTCTGGTAGGACTGATATTAAATAATGTATTCAAAATTACGTTGGTGAGGGGAGCCTGAATTTGAGTTAATTTTTTTATATTTTATGTTTTTAATCATCAGCAACAATGAGGTATAAAGTCTCTCCTTTCATAATGTTAACATCAAATAGTTAAAAAAAATCATCTTTAGTCTAGTTTGAAAGATTTTTCTGGTAGGACTGATATTAAATAATGTATTCAAAATTATGTTGGTGAGGGGAGCCTGAATTTGAGTTCATTTTTTTATATTTTATGTTTTTAATCATCAGCAACAATGAGGTATAAAGTCTCTCCTTTTATAATGTTAACATCAAATAGTTAAAAAAAATCATCTTTAGTCTAGTTTGAAAGATTAAAAGAGTTGATTTGTTCATGTTTGTATTGGGATTGATCAATCAGCTGTTGACCACTCTAGTCGTACATCCCTATAACACAATTGTATGTTTTTGCTCCTCTTTCAGAAAAAGAAAGCAAACACTCATCCAAAGACAAGAAGAAAAAGAAGAAGAAAGGCAAAGAGGTAAAGTCATTGTTGTACATATTACATACTGTTAGAAATAACGTGTGTAAGAGAGTAATATCAACACAATAAATTGTGTCCCTTCTTTTTCAGGAAGAGGAAAAGAACAAGAAGAAACACAAACACAAGAAAAGGGAGAAAGACGAAGCTGCAGCAGGAGATGACAAAGAGAAAAAGAAAAAGAAATACCGGAGCAAGAAAACAGAAGTGGATGAGTTGGAGGACTTCCTGGGTGGAGGAGCAGGGTTGATCAAAAGAGATGACGGTGATTATGAAGAACTATAAAAGCTTGTTTTATTAGGAATGGAACTGTAGAACAGCATTCAAGTTTCCTTGACTTGTAAGAGCATAAAGCATCTCCAAGCCATACGCAATACGCTAGGCTACCGACAACCCCCAGGTAAAATAAGTTAAGGACTCTGTCTGATTTCCCCATGTGCACTACTGCTGTCACTTCCAATTAGCCAGTAGGGAACAGTGAGGAGACCCACACGTACTGTAGTGAGTGGTGACATTAAAATTTGATGACTGGCGTAGCCATGTATTGGCTCTTTGTTCTTTGCCATGATTGGATATGTTGGCGAAATATTTTCTTTGATTTGATACACTCTGCAAGTGATCCACTCTGAATTGGCTGCTGTAAATAGGGATACCATTTTGTCTAAACTTTTGTTTGGTTGGTAATATTGGGAGCATGCTGTGTGTGATGACTGACTCCTTACAGACTCCACAGTGTTCTGTCTTTCATTTCTTTGTTCCTTTCTTGTTGACTTAAGTGGTTAATGGCAGATTTAGGCTTGTGTCTTAAATGTGAATAATGAGAAAAAATTCAGAGAGAGGTGATTTATGAATTTTTGCCCATCACCAGTAAAGGCAATGACCTCCCCCTCATCACACTGTACGTCCACACTGAGCTGGCTACACTTAAAAAATATGTTTGCTTTGTTTTGGCCTCCATCTACACTTGACACGTCTATCTTTTCAAAACCGCTATGAAAACCTGCTACTGCGTGTCAGCAAAGTAGATAATTAAAGCTCTATTCTCCTCTAACTCTTAATGTGGTCACTGATTTCAAGATCAAACAATACAGTTTGTCAATCTGTATAAATGTTGACTTTGTCAGACAACAGAGGTGTAACCACCTGAGACTCAGCAGAGTTATGCTGGGTTTAGTCAGCCCGGCAATAGCCTGACCCAGCCGTCCTATGGTGTTGGCTCGAATCAAGATTGACAATGAGCGTCCTGCGCGATTGCTTTAGTGTTTCAAAGTAATTTAGATGACAACCGACGCCACATCTGGGATGCCTCATGACATCCTGACAGAAAGACTAGAATGTTTGTTTGTCTGTTTTTGCCCACAACAATTTTCCTCACAGCCGTCACTTTTACAAATAGGAACACAGCGATCTGCTGCTGTGGACAACTGTATGGCAACAACACCCCAGTCTTTTTGATATTTCCTCTAGGGACATCACTACAAGAAATTAAATTCAGAAAAAATAATGAATGTTGAAATTAACTATAGAGACTAAAATTGTTTTTTATACCAGACTGTGAATATGTTTATTTGTGCTGTATAGTTGGGCAATTAACATAGGGGTCTGTGGGGATTAACTCTGTTTTGGAGCCAGCCTCAAGTGGCCATTAGAGGAACTGCAGTTTTTGCCACTTCCACATTAGCTTCATTTGTCAGCCTCGGAGGTTGCTGCTTGACGACATCACGCGCGTTGTCAGTGACAACCAGCGATAATTGGTTGCGGACCAATGTGTGGTTTGTCATGTCTGTCTGCCAAATCATGGCAAGATTTTAAGACTCTGTAATTGCCTAATCTGACATAGTGACTGTTGGAACGGACAAACGTATTGTGAACTCTGAACCCAGCATAAGCTGCTGTGTCTTTCTCATCACTTGTAGGCTGTGTGGCACACAAAAGATGTCCAAGTTAAAATAAAAACAAGAAATTTGTGCTCTAGAGAAAGGATCAGTGCTCAGTGAATAACCTCCTAAGCCCTATGATAAACTATTATGGCAAGGCGTAACTATACAGACCAGTGAGCAGTGATAACTAACACGACTTTTTGGGTCTTCAGGTGGGAACCTCCTTTCACCAGTGTTTCATGTAGTTGGTCCCACAACACCTCCAGGAGGCTAGACAGTGATCTCTGGCGTCCCAGAGACACTACCCTAATGCCAGCTCTCACTGCTCCCTACACCGACCCAACAACCTCCTTGACCTTACCTTACACATGGCTTTCTCAGCCCAAACAACACTGCCACGTTAGGCGCAGCTGTGGCGCAGAGGTAGAATGGGTTGTCCACCAATGGAAAGATCAACAGTTCGATCCCCAGCTCCTCGAGTCTGCATGTCAAAGTATCCTTGAGCAAGATACTGAACCCCAAATTGCTCCCTATGGCTGTTCAATCGGTGTATGAGTGTGTTAAAACTGAGTAGCGGTGACCTTGTATGGTAGCCTCAGCCACCAGTGTATGAATGTGTGTGCGAATGGGTGAATGTGACCCGTAGTGTAAAAAGCGCTTTGAGTGGTCGGATGACTAGAAAAGCACTATACAAATGCAGGTCCATTTACCAAAAATGCAGGTCCACCTTCAACAAACCCAGGCTCCGTTTATGCGAGCTCCAGGTAGTGACAGTGCCGATACTACCTTTCCTAGCACATTCACACTTAAATAACTCTAAAACTTCCTCTTCCTGGATTTTCTCCTGAGAGCACTGATTGGATCTCTCCACCTGGATCTTGGTACCCTGCTGGCCCCCAACTGACATTATTCCTCCTCATCCAAATCCACTTACTAGATTACTAAATCCACCCTAGCTGCTTCATCTGGCATTTCCTTTACTGTCTTCCTCAAAATCTGTCCCCGCACTCTGAGTTCCCCCAGGAGCAAGACAGCTGATCTTGCTATGAATCCCCTACACCCTACTTCCACTGGACAAATCCTAGTTTTCCACCCTCACTGCTCAGCTCCTGCTCCTAAGTCTGCATACCATACATAAGCTTTTTCCTTTCATAGGCTTCTTCCACTGAGTGTTCCCAAGGAACTGTCAGTTCAATGAAATAAACTATCCGTTGACTCACTGACCACAACACTATGTCAGGCCTCTGTTTGGTACAGACTATTTCCTGGGGAACAACAAGCTTTCCTCCTAAATCTACTTGCATTTCCCAATCACAAGCACCTTCTAGGCGGCCACACCCTTGCCTCTTTACTAACTTATCACTTCTGTATTTCTCCCCCTCACGGAAAAACTGAATTGCTGAAGATAAGATAAATGCCAGGATTAGACCATGATATAATGGAGCCAAAATTAGCACTAGGCATGGCCACTGGACTTTTTATCCCTTGTTGTGTTTCGTAGTGGAAAACAACCACCAGTATCTGGGAAACCTCACAAAACCCTGAAAACATCTGTTTATTTTGCCTGGTTTGACAACTTCATTTTGCCTGGTTTGACAACGTTTCGATCACATGGATCTTCTTTGGCGAAGATCCATGTGATCGAAACGTTGATCTTATATAATAAACATTTGAGGAGCTACAGCAGTGTGCGGACTTCACCCCTTTTTTTAAAAAAGTTTGTTAGGTGGGGCCTCCATGGATTTAACTTGTTCTGGGCGCACCCCATCAGATTGGGATCTGGGGAATTTGGAGGCCAGGTCGACACCTTGAGTTCTTTGTCATGTTCCTCGAGCCATTTCTGAGAAGTTTTTGTAGTGTGACATGGTGCGTCGTCCTGCTGGAGGAAGCCAGTGCCATTGCCACAAAGGGGGGGGATACTTGGTGTGTAATGAGGTTTGGGTAAGTGTTGCGTTTAAGTGGCATACACATGAATGCTGGGATCCAAAGTTAGCCAGCAGAACATTGCATTGTAACAAGATGAGGAGTGTTACTCACTTAACCTGTCAGTGGTGTTAATGTTATGGCTGATCGGTGTATGTACACACTTACTGTCTTACGCAGTGACCATGAATTGTTTCAGGTTCACTTTGGTTACTAAAACTTTGTTTACATCTGTAAAGATTTCTTATTGGTGCTATCAGGTGAGACAGTGAGTCAGTCCCAAGAACATCAAATGTGTCCTGTAGTCACAGCAAGGTTGAATTACTGATGAAAATATTGTATAATCTGATTCCAAGCATTCTTGCTTTACCTGGCGTTTATTGATGGAGATCACACAAATTGTAATGTCGTTTTCACACCACTTTTAAAATGAGCTAGCTTAGTGTGGACATAGTCTTGGTGTGAAAGAGACCACAGCCACTAATCCCCCATATGTCATCACTGGTGATTTTATGATTTCATCCACTGGTCAAAATGGCTGGTACAGTACAAGTTATTTTCCTTCCCTTTCCTCCTTTCCCTGCTTCACCCTGTAGGCAATGCACAAATTCTCCTCATGTTTTCAAAAATTGCCTTAATGAAGGTCAATACAGGGGATGATGTGACGCTATTCTCATGAACCATTTTTAAGTGTTCTTACTGTAAAGTATTAGGTAGCTCGGTTTGATTCAGAATGTTGTCCTGGCCTTTCGTTGGTAAAACTGGATCTGCATCATTTTTGAAGCTTATACTTATAAGATTGCAGTGAAACAGTACTTTTGTTTGTCTTAACAGCAAAATGCCACCCTGACAAAGGAATATTATGGAATTGTTTTTTTCTCTGTAACATTTCCAAGATTTCGGTATTGTTTTATCCTTATGTTATTTATTGCTTATACTTTGTTTTGTTGGAAAATGACAGGGTTAAGTTTGTGTGATTTGTGCTGAAACTGTCCCAAACAGTCAACACATGCAGCTTTTTATTGGTTACAGTTGTTCTTATCTCCTAACCTGTTATACATCCTCCAATGGTTTACTTCCACTGCTTTTAACAGCCTGTACATGGTGATACACACTATGTACGATACAGTATCTTCCAGAAATCATCCAAATGTCTCAAATAAGTAAAGCATTCTTGCATCTTAAAGAAATTGTGTGTTTTTAGACTTGTTTTGATAACTGTCAGATGTCATACAGTTTCCATCTCCCATACATACTGTATATGGTTACACTCTGTTGGTTTACAAAGAAATTATGTTTGATATTCCAAAGTTGAAACTATGCAGCATTGATCCTGAATACTGTGCTCTTTTTTTGTCTTTTGTCATGTGATTGAGGATAAATGCTGAAAGCACAGTTTCAAGCAAAGTGTGAGACTTAAATATACAGCAAGGAAAGAATGTATAAAGTATATTAACAGATACATATGTTTGAAGAGCTTTGTTCCAAAAATGATCCATACACGTGGAAACGTGATTGAGATCATATAAATGATCTCAATAGGAAAGATCCAACAGGGGTAATTGTAAAATTCTGACAGGGTTCCTATGCAAGTATGGAAAAGTATGGAAATAAATTTGATCAATTTCCAGGTATTAAAAAGTATGGAAAATGAAAAATAAAGTATGGGAAAATATTTGTGTTTCCAGACTATTATCACTGTTCTAAAATACTGTTTTCTAAAATAGAAAATTAGGTATTTCCAAAAATAATTTAATCAATCCGGATCGTGTTTTATGCCGGGCCAAGCACAGTTTGTGTGAGAGCAAGCGTCTCAGAAAACATACCGCCCCTTTTACCTGATTGACAAGTGGTATATCCAGTCCGCTGCCCCATGACCCTCCTCCAGCACCCCAGGTATCAAGTTTCACTCCAACACTGCACCTTCAACAAGAAGACGAGTTTCATGTGGTTCTCAATGGGTAGATGCAAGTTTTTGGATGGATGGCTTGACAATACTGTATATAAATACTGGTTGGCCAAGGATTCCCAATTCACACACAGAGCTAGATGCAAGCTTTGTGTGAAATCATTTGACATTGCCAACATGGTGGAGAAGGCGATTCTGAGCCACATGAAAGGAAAAAACACCGACATCTTGTTACTGCATCGCTTGCACCCAGAGTCCCAACCTTTTTGCCTCAGCCCAGACATTGAACTTACCTGAGTTTTTGTTTGCATGCCATTATGGTACTTGGCTACAATCGCC